TAGAAGGTTCAAAAAACTTATTTAAAATACTCAGTTTATTTAGCAATTAATATGTATTTTTTCTAATGAATTCTATAAATGAAAGATACAATTCGATTCAGTTTGTTTTTTTTTGTCTATCGAGTAGTATTTAACTTAAAATATTTTGATGCAGAATAAAAGTGCTATAAAAAGATATTAAAAAGTGTCCAAATAATTATTTTACATAGTATATGTGCAGATATTTTGAAAGTTTACATCTTGAAAATCTGTCCACTATTTTAGAGAAAAAAAGAATATTACTACCGTTCAGTTTACTCTTAGTGGTAGCACTAAATCTACCTGTAAAAAACGCATTTTAAGCAAAACTCACGGAAAAACTTATTGTCATTACAAACGATACTAAGAAATATAGCTGGTTAACTCGTCTCTTTTTCTTCTTCAGAAAGAGAATTGTAAAAAAGTAATCTGCCATTTTCGCCATGCTTTGCATTTTTCATTCCTGTATTTTATTGGTTCGACAACAAGAAAATAAGATGCTATTCTTTTGCCGAGTAATCTTATAATGTTAAAGAAAGAATTTTTTTTTCAGACTTTTCTCACTGTGCGAAGGTTGCACTGTGGAAGCGTTCAACTATTTTCTTTCTACTTATACTTTGCTGTCAACATCTATATTCTGTAACTTCGAGTCTACAACAAACTCAAAATGTCTTGTGTTGCTGAAGAAACGCAACACTATATTCTATTAGAATTGTAATAACAAGAATGAAAACTCAATGTCATACAAGATGATACATCACATCAGAGCTATCGTACCTGATGACGAGTGCCTCCTTAAGTCACAGAGGTGCCATAAATATGCCTAACATTTGTTTGTAAATTGTTCATCAAATTGAAACGTTTTAACAACAAATTTAAAATATCTTAAGCATTTTTCAGTTCTTATTTAACTTGGTCTGATTTGAGAAATCTATTAGACTAGATGACATATAAAGAGACTTCTCTTCAGAAATATGTTTGTTTCGTTTATGACGTTGATTACATTGTCGTTCTTGTATGCAAATAGATGCAACAGTTTTGAATACTTAAGAAAGAGGCGAGTTGGTCTTCATTGCACATATCAGAGGGAGAACTATCATTCGATGAGTAGACTATTGTAAATTATCTTTAGATTTAAAGATAAAATCCAAAGCAACGCAATCTTTAAAAAATATTATTTATATTGTAGCAAAAAAGTAAAATATTCCCTAAAGTTTTTCAATGCATGATCCGTACTACCTTCGACATTTATACAACATTTGACACCGTTCACTATGTGCTCTATCTAAGGACATATATAACATCGTGATCAATAAAACTAATGAAGTCTTCAGATTTTCATAACTTACAAAATAAGGGTTCTATGATGTATTTTATCTGATGATTCGCTTTACAACTGGTGCCACAGACGAAACCTATTGTATTCGACTCAGTTTGATGAGCCCCATCGAGTAATGTACATTTCCTTGTCACCATACCACAGATGTGTTATAGATAAAACTTACATTATTCGACATATTTTGATTAGTTCTATCTATTGATGTATATTTTATTGTAAATAGTAATGGGTTGAAAATGCTAGGATCGCCAAAACTGATCAGTCTAATATTTCATTTGATAATTAATATTACAATGTGTGCCAAAGATGGAACATATATCATTCAATAAATTTCGATCCGACTTTGTGATAAACATACGTTTTATGATAAATAGCAGCACAATTGTTTAAAGGTAAGTTATCTAAAATTTTTCTGTTATAATCAACATTAGCCATTTTATTCGACCATCTCTGCTATTCAATGTCTGTCATTTTTCACAACGGATACCCTAAATAAGCATTGAATGAGTTGAATACGTTCGATCTTTAGTTTTTCATCTAGTAATTTGCCTCAATATTTTCTGGATGATATAATTTGAATCCATTAGCTTTGGCCGATATATTAAATGTTGACAAATATAATCGCCTATTATTTTGCATTTTTCAAACAACTCGGTTTTTATTTTATAATTTGGTGGTTTTTTTTTATGAAACTCACACATATGTTCGGAAAAAATAGTGAGTGAAAGTGTAAATCGAAGTTTTGCAACTCTCTCTCCTTCTCTATTACAGATGTGAATAACTGCTATTAAATAATAAATATTTATAACAGGCTTATTTGCCATCTAATTCAATGTTTATCATAATCAAAAAGAATAAAAAAAGAAAAAATTACGAAAATGAAAAATAACGAGTGAATAGCAACAGAAAAAAACGACATTTCTTTTTGAGAGGTACAATTAAAAACAACAGCGTTTAATTGATAAACGATCTCATCAAAAAAAAACAACTGTCGTCTTTTAAAGATTTTATACCATATGTTTTATATTACTACAATAGATCTGAACAGCATATGTAAGTTCCACATTTCACTCCTGATGGGATATGAATGTGAGTAGAAGAGAGACTGTCCTAACCTTTAAGCAATGGTTTATTCACACTTAGATCCACACTGCATCCATTTTCGAAAAATATTTTATCATATAACTATTCTTTATTTGTTTTATAAAAGTAATTTTTGCGTCGGTGACACTATCGATCAACAGATGATCAGAACAGGTGATTGGCAATAAAATTAATGAAGACTACTTTTTACTTATCAATAGGATTTAAACTAATCTTTTCTACCTCAATAATACTTAATTTAATCTCGAAATTTCTGTTTTCATGATTTTCTTACTTATTACTCGTACATTCATTACAATGAGAAAAGTACACAGTCAAATCAATTTGACAAAAAAAGAAAAATCTATTGAATTATTTTTTTTTTTTTCGTCTAGTTCTTTTGTCAAATATTCTTTATCTTCATTTCATTACAAAATGTAAATTCAAATAAAAGATTTCCTTTGATTATTTTTGTTTCAAATGTATTGAATATTTTGTATCATTAAGAAAAAAAAAAAGAGAAAGATTGCTTGTTCGATTTGGGTGGTTGCTTCGGCGAGAATTGAACTCGCAACGTTTTTTTTGCAGAAAAACAATCTACCATTGATTTACAAAGCGAAGTAATCGAGACATTATCGCTTTCTCTATTTTGTTCTATGAAAATGTACATTTTCATTTGAGTTTACTTTGATATTGTGCAATTACAAATTGTATTTTATTCTTTTACTTTTCTTCTCAACGCTTACATTAGACGTAGAACAAGTAATATATATTTTAACTGTGTGATACAGAAAAACAATCAGTGATTCTAGAAGATTTTATATTTATCATACTAATAAACTACTATTTAATTTTCAATTGCGATAATTAATGAAAACCGATTGATTTAAGATTCTAATTTCTATAAAAATCAGCAGAAAAAAAAAACGTTAGTTCTGAGCGAGTTTTTCACATAGTCATATATATTGTTTATTTTTTGTTCTCAATATAAATTTAAATCGCCTATAATTCAACTTTATGAGAAATCTTATTTTTGAGTTAAACATTTCTATATTTTATTTGAGTTAGAATAATAGTGTCGAATATTTTTCATGATTGTTTCTCAATTCTCTCAGTTATTCAAGAAAGAAAGATTTCAAAATGAGAATTATTGAATGAAAAACACGAACAGAAATACACTCTTAGTTGTAAATAATTCAGAAATATTTCTAATAGAAGTTCTAAATCAAAGGTCACCTTATTATCATAGACAGTTACGAATTGTATTAAAGAATCACTGAATTTATACGAGAGTCAATCGATTCTATATGATCAATACATATTCTCTCAAAGATTGAACAATTCATCTCACATATTGAACTTTTATATACATTTGCAGCATGAGAACAGATTGATTACTTGACATAAATGTATTAATCTTATTCAGATAGACAATAATGAAAATCATAGACGGAAAAAAAAAATATCATTTCAATTTAATTTAGTTGATTCAGAGAAGTGGAACGAGACAAATCTCATGCTTGAGTTTTCTTTAACCAAAATCATACACATAAATTGTGCACATGACAGAACAGATTTATTTCAAGCATGATGCATCGTTTGTTTTTTTAAATATCAATTCCATTTTATCAATTTTGAATGAAAAGTCTTCATTCGATAAGGATCATTCATTAATATTTTGGAAACAGCAAGTGATTACATTTACAGTCGGTATCCACATTATGGTAATACACTAAATCAATGAACTTCTTTACATATGAAAGATCTAAGTAAATTTTACGAAACATGTTTTTATCATTGATAAGCTATGAAAAATTGATGTCGAGATTTTTTCTATACTACTTCAAAAATAGAAAAAGAATTTGATTTTCTTAATCAAAACTTATTTTTGAATTCTATTTTTCATTTTAATTTATAAGTATTTTAAACTCTTCTCCGAAAATTTTCGTACTAGAATACTAAGTGATCTCATTCAAAAGCGTAAAGAAAATTGCATCGATTGATTTTTTTTGAATTCTGAAATTTTAGTACTTTCTAACACTTTAGTCTTTTTGTGTATATTCTGTCTTATGAATCGAAATGGAAAGAAAAATAATAACTCAATGACTTCAATCAGTAATTTTTCTCTTGCATAAAACAATTTTGAACTCAGTATCTCAAAAATTTATTGAAGAAGTGATTTTCACAAAAATTCTACTTTTTTGATAAAGAAATAATTTTCATTTTGAAAATTCTTTCATTCGTTAAGTATTCTGAATAATATTTAATTAGTTCAAAGAGGATTGAGAGCATTTATGACGGTGGAATTTTAAAAATAATCATATAAAAAACTGAATATAATTATTTTCCATTGAAGCATTTTGTAATTTATTTTGGCATAAAAATGAATAAAAAACATTCTGGTTGATGTACTATTTATCATAAACAAAGATGACAATAGCATCATAGAGGAATAAATATTTTATTTTCATCATATTCCGACAGATTATATATCAATTCTTGGTTTGTCTAAGCATACATTTATTTCAATTCTAGTTCAACACAGTAAGAAGCTGAACATACGTAAAATAACCAGTCTGCTATTCTGCTTAAAAGTAGATATGCATATACTTTGTTGTGTCTTACAATATTTGTATCATTAGATCATTATCAACGGTCAAAACGATATTTATTAAACTTTCAAGTATATCTTTGGTCATGTATTTAAGTTCAAAAGATATAAATGTATCATCCTCAAATTTTACAGATTATTCATTGATTATTCCAATATCAATTATTTTGGCATTGATTGGTATATCTATTGCTTGTTTAGTCATCGTTGTGATTGCATCTACCAAACGTTTATATACTGTTACTTATTTGTTGATTTGTAATACATGCATTTCATCAATATTTTATTGTGTAGTACAATGTAATAATTATGCTTTTCTTAATTTTATTCTATGGGATATTAGTGATATATCATGTCGATGGCGTGGCTATTTTGCTTATATGTCAATTGTTGCTGTCATTTATTCTTATTTAATTCAAGCAATATCACGTTATTTCTTTGTTGTACTTTCTATGAACTATCGATGGATAACATCATTAAAAATACATCTCATTCTTATTGCTGTTCAGTGGATCATTACTATACTTCTGCCATTACCTGCCATTGTTACTAAAGATATTTATTATGCTCCGAATTCACTTTGTTGGGTTCGAAAACAATATCCCATCCATGTTGCTCATACATTTCTAAGCTATTACTTTTTGCCAACAATATGTATTGTCATGCTTTATGTCTATCTTTTTCGACGAGCAAAACGTAGTACGAATAGTACTTTGTCACCAACAATAGGGACGTCTCGACGACAAAAGCGTGATAGTGACCTTCTTCGTAATATTTTGCTCTTATTTAGTATATATATATTTGGTGGATTGCCAACACTTTTATACTTGGTTGTTGGAAGCAACATATTGTATCGTATAGCTCTTATTTTTGTCGTGTTAACCGTTGTTGTTGAAAAAGCAGCAACCATATTTCTCGATCGAGAATTACGAAAAACGATTAAGCATATTTTTTCTTGTTCAAAGACACCTGTTCTACCCATAAAAGTCAATACTACTAATTCAACAACTGCAAGAAGAACTAACATACCAATAACCACATTTACGAAATTAAACAAAAATGTTCGATGATGCTTAATGAAATACAAAAAAAGGAATATATTACATTCATTTTAGCCTTCTCATTTGAAGCTAAGAAAAGACAAAATAATTACTGTCGTATTCATATTCTTTTCTTTTGTTGTAATGTCCAAGAACATATGTATCAGAGATGTGTAGGTTTCAATGTCGATGTTCCATTACATAACGATTTAATCATATCTGCAATCTTGCTCAACAATATAAAGAAAATGTTCTTAAAAATTTTGAAAATATATCTCAAAGTTCACTATAAAATGATGTTCAAATCTAGTTGTCTTTTATTTTCTTAGAGCAAATCAGTTAATTTTTTCTTTTTGCATATTCGAGGTTCTTTCGCCATTGTTGAAGACGACGATGATTGTTAGGTAATGACCGATTTCCAATATCAACAGCTTGTTGATGATATTGACGTGCTTTTGAATATTGACACATCTCACTGTAAACGAAACCGATATTACTGTAGGTTTGAGCTAAATCAGGATGATATGATGGAAGTATTTTTTGTTGAATTTCCAATGCTTTTTTGTGGGATGAAAGTGATTTTGAATATTCGCCCATCTTTTTATACAGAGAACCGATGTTATTATAAGAAAAAGATAAGGTTAGATTATTTGAAGGATCTATATTTTGTCGAATTTCAAGTGCTTTTTCATGAAACAAAAGAGCTTTTGGATAATCATTTAATTTTTCGTAAACAGATCCAATATTGTTGAATGTAGATGCCAAGCCAGGATCATTCGAAGGAAGTATTTCTTGTTGAATTACAAGTCCTTTTTCATAATATAAAAGTGCTTTCGTATATTCATTCAATTTTTCATATACTGAACCAATTTCATTATAGGAAACAGCAAACGAACGAGAATTTGGAGGCATAACTTTTTGTTTAATTTCAAGCGATTTTTCATAAAATGTAATTGCTTCGTCATATTTTTTTTGATTTTTCTTATTCCATGCAAGTTGATGATAGAAATGTGTTTTCTCACGATCACTATCTGTTTGATCAAGAAGAAATTCGTATAATTCATTAGCTTTATCATATTGGCCAATTTTAATCAGTAATTTACCCAATCTATCCCATTCAGTTGATCCTTGAATCTCATGACGTATTCGTTCAGTAAGATCATTTAGCTGTGAATCGTTATCATTGGTCTGTATTAAGTCTACCTGCCATAGACGATTGTTACCATCGATCGGTATGATATTGTCAAAGCGAAAAACGGTATGCATCGAAAATAGAATTTCTTCTTCTGTCTTGTAGTAACTCACGTCGTTGATAGAAGCAAAAGGAGTGGATTTTATTGAAGGATCAATTATCATCACAAAGACAATTCCCACTGAGGTTGGATTAACAAGAGAACTACTAGCAAAACTAAGAGCTATACTTAGTTCTTTGCTTGTAGACAAAAAATTATTAAAAGATATCAATCCATTTTGTGTTTCCAGCATTTTGTCTAAGTCTGTCTTAGGTAAACCTTGACCTCGAAAAATAGTAAATCGTTGCAATTGATGGTACTCACTAGATTGTTTTGAGTGTAGTTTTACGAGTTGATGATGAAGATCATGAATAAAGAAACCCATTTTTATGATAGTATCAACTTCCATTAGACGTAAAGCTCGGTTTAGCATCGAGTAAAGCCAGCACTCATGAGTATACCACCAGATAGGCAAATATTTATCATAATTTCTTTCGAATTCATTAATATTATTCAATTGAATGGCATTATCGGCACAGTTTTCACGATAGTAGGTTGTAAAATCTTTAATATGTTGTTCATCGAAGTTAATTGTCAATAAAATTTCTTTTAGTATTTGTGTATACATAAATGTTGGATTTAATTGATCTAAATTTTCATTTAAATTCCTACTATGTGTTGATATAATACTAATCGAAACCGAATCTTGATCACATTTTTGTGCATCTTGTTTAAGTGCTTGACACAAAGACGAAATTGAAATAAAGATGTCCTTCACTTTTGGCCATTGTTGTGTCCATTGTTTCTGTTTTAATTTATTTTTACAAAAGATATAAATGGAATTAATTTGAATTAAATCATGCACGAGAGGCACAATATTTTGATCAAATTCATTTGAAATAATCATCAGGACTTTTTCATTTTTGATATCGGTAATAAAATCTGTACATTGATCAATATCAGTAAATGTATTGATGGTATTAACAACTCGTTGTAGTTCAATAATTGAATTATGAAACTCATTGTCATTCATTTCATCAATGTCAGAATGTAACCATATCAAAATAAAGTTTTGAATGATACGAGAATTAAATGGTCGATGTGGCGGCTTCGTACTAGTTTGTTCAGATATTGCTGTTGTAATTAGATTTTTAGAAGATGTAGACTGTTTATTAGGTCTTACTATGCCAATTAGATTACAATTTTCTATTTGATGTTTAAAATCCATATTGTATTGGATGTATGTCGTTGAATTAAAATAGTTGAAAAGGAAATGATGACGAAAGAAAGCAAAAATTTTCTTTTTTTTATAATTTGTACTCTCTTTTTTTTTCGGTAATGATCTGTTCGTCGTCGTTCTTTTATTTTCTTGCTGTTGAAAGACTTCACCTGTTTCTTCTTCAATATATAGTTACAAAAGCAACAATAGATTAACAGAAAAGAATTGGTTGGCGATAACGAACGAACGAAAAAGAAAAGTGAAGGTATGTTATTTTTATCAGCATTACAAGTAAACAATAGAATTTCATGACAAAAACACCTTACTTTTCTTCAAAGAAACTCTTGAAGAAAGTGAGTATGAATGGGAGTAGACATGGATGTTGATGTTGGAAATAACTATTGTGACATCTACATCCATACCATCAAGAATAAAGATCATAATCAAGTATTTGATGAGTAATATTTAACAATTCATTGACATTCGGACAGTTAATAATTTGTTGTCTAAATGAATGTTTTTCTTATTTCGATATATCTTGACTATAGGAATAAGAATAATACTTGTTGGACTGTTACTAATTGCGAATGTTTAACTGTACAATCAGGAGATATATTGATCGATGTAGAAATCGAATTTGTTGAAATAACGAACAGCATTTAGAACAAACTTCTAATTAATATCGAAATAATACCATTCTGAAAGCCAACAAAACCAAACTCATGTGAAATAGAAAACTATTTCTGGGAACAATCAACAATAACGATCAATTTAAACTAATAACAAAACATTTGATTGTTATGTAAAATAATTCATACTATGCTATTTTCAATTCATAAAATTTACAAGTGATTTTTATTTCTTTTACTATTATGATATTACGCTTTGTAATAAATCAATCAACAAAAAACAAAGAATCATCAATCATAGAGTTTCTCTGTTATTGTCACTTCATTATTTTTAAGTACTAAAAGAAAAATTTTTCTTCTATTCAATGAAAGAGATTGATTAGCAAATTGTTGAATTGTTCAACTTCTATCATGAATCATTCATAACTAAATACTTTTTGATCTGCATGAATATTATTATAAATATATATATATATATATTGAACATAGATTAAAAATATATTTTAAGTAGTAAATAAAGAAAAGTATTAGATGAAAACAAAAATTTCATGAAGATAAAATCGAGAGAAAAACATCCTTGTTTAAATATTTTTTTTATTTCGTGGTGATTTGCAAATATACTAAGTTGCTCTTTTTCTATTTCCTTCGAAAAAACTTAGTGAGCGACACACTTTTATATTCTATTAAGTTATCAAGGCACTTTCTCGATCGATGAAATCATACGAAAAAATTAATGTGTCGATTTTGACAAAAGGAAAAGTACAAGTTTAGAATCTCAAGTAGGTGTTCGATGTTGGAAAAACGTTGAATGTGCCGCAAAGATGCTGAAGTATTCGAGCTTCCACATCGGTACATGCCCTCTGGTTAAACCACTTAATCGAATAAACTTTAACATTTGACATGTATTCCACTGATTCCTGGATACAAAAACTCTGTGCTTGATTGATTAAAAAGTAACTGTCGCACGAACATAACACCCATCCATATCTTTAATTAAATAGAAATATTTTCTAAAAAATTTCATTAATATTGCTACTGCTATATTTTTCTGCGAATTCTCATTTTTATTAAGAGTTGCAAGAATTAACAAAGATTTCTTTTTTGCTCATAATCAATATTTACTATGAGCTATCGTTTGATAGTAATTAAAAGTGTCTTATCATTCAATAATTTTCATTTTATGTTGTATCACATAAACAGAACAGAGAATTATATATTGATTAAGAAAGTTCGGTTGTACAAGTGAAGTAGTCATCTTGTTACATGTCTAGCTAATCAACAATAAAACGAAAATGAATAAAGCTGCTAATCACGCCTGTTGGACAAATGAGTTTACAAATGCACCGTCATTATAGAATATGAATGTCTACAATTGATATTCAGCATTAAACATATAAAAATCATCTATTAATTTTAAGTTAGAATTGATCTGAAAGATGCATTTCTCAACTTGTCTTCTATCAACCGATGCTTATTTTCACGAGAGATATATCTTAATTGTGTCTGACTTTTTCATTTCATGTTTTGAGCTCAAATAAGAAGGTTCGAAATATGGGTGCATTTTTTCCTCTTTGTCCACATCCAAAATAAGATAAAGAACTGATATAACGAATTTGATTCATTCTAGCAATTCTAAAATGTAGAGATTTGAATGAAAAACGAACTGAAGAAATGTGAGAAGAACAATTACCATCGTGATAATCAAGTATGTTGTAAAATTGGTTTTACACAATATAGTTATAGATTGAACAAAGAGTTTTGTTAAATTATATAAACTCATATTAAAATGTACACTGAAGAGAAACCATTTTTTTTTTTTGTAATCGATTTTCGGTCTTTTAAATGATATAAAATTTTGTTACGAAATAGATATGACGATTCTTTCATTTCTTATTCTTACAAATGGTTGAGTAATAACATTAAAAAATAAATGACGAATAAAAAGAAGAAAAAAAAAGCTTGAATTACTATTGACAACAGAGCATGCACATTTTCATTATATTATATTTACAATTTCATTCAGAAAAAAAAACACAAAGTAATGACATCAATGATAGAAGAATCAGGTAACTACATATAATTAATGAAAAAATTATCAATGGCATGAACTATGATTTTGTTATTTCAGCTACATTTATTATGGATTCAGGACCATTTATTGACATAATTCCAACAATATTAAAATATTTAGACTTGAAAAGTCTTATTCACTTAGCTAAAACATGTTATTTTTGGAAAGAACGTATCTATACAGATGTAAAATTATGGCCAAAAGTGATTGAATTACCGTATATTGGTTGTATGAATAATTATGTCGGTGTACATAATATTCTTGAACATGTAATTGAGGCAAAATTATGGTCAATGATTCGACCACCAGATGATCCAAAAGCTTTAGAGAAAGTTTTAGAGAAAATGGCATCATCCGAACAGAGTATACAACGATTTAAATTAACCAAAAAAGTATGGTAAAAATTAAACAAAATTTTCTTTGAGCAATAATTTTCAATAATTTTACATGATTTATTTTTTCATCTTATAGGTTCTATTCAAAAATTTTATTCATACTAATGAATCATTACGTCTTACAGCTTTATTATTTCCTTTAATTGAAGAAATTACTTTTGAAGGTAATCTTTTATCAATTATTGGCGTTCAATACATAGCTGAATCATGTAGAAAACTTAAACATATTGAATTTTATCAATGTGGTAATCTTGACATAGGAAATGCTTGTCGTTTATTTAACAATGAAGAACATAAAAAATATTTAGAACGAATTTTTATTTATAATGGTTTTTGGTCAAAATATACAATAAATTTTCCAACTAAAGATGATTTACCATTTATGGAATTATGTCAACGCTGTGGTTTATATTATAATCAATTAAAAAATGAAAAAGAAATGTTATGTCTTTATCATCCAGGAGTAAGGATATTAATTAATTACTTAAATAATATTATTTGTCATTTCAAAACAATTGATTCTTTCATCGATAATTCGTGTTAATATATATGCCTATTTTCCAATTTTTGTTTCGAAATTTAATACCACTCTTCAGATAAAAACTCTAATAGAATTATTTCTCCATAATTTTTTTATTTGTTTTGATAGACATATAGAGGTTATGGTCATAGTTGTTCATCATACAACTGTTGTGGTAGCAATACACCTAGATATCCATCAACATTAGGTTGTCAATACACTTATCATGAGAAATGTTCTAATACACTATCATCAAATCAGAGACATTATTATGAATTGCATGATGGGTAATTTATGAGATCACTTTCTTTTTTTGTTTTTTCCTAATAGTTTATCTTCGATGTTTATATTCTTAGTCATCCTGAATATATGTTTCAAAAGTATAAAGATGTGAAATTTCTATTGCAATTTACTGAACGACGTCGATTAGATAAATGTTATGAAAAATGGAAGAAACAGGAACAACAACAAGAAGAATAACAATATTACGTTTTACGAAAACACATGCAATAAAGATAAGATTTTCTTAACTTTCAACCTCGTCTTATTTTCAATAAATAAATAAAAGTAATGAGGTTTATATCAGAAATATACAGTACAATGTTTAAATTTTGAAAAAAAATTTTTTGTCAAAAGATGCGTCGTGAAAAGCTCTACAGAAATTGTAAGAACAAATTCTTATTAACTTGTTCTGATGGTGTCTTCTATACTCAAAATGAACAGGTGACATGATGGTGTCATGTCCCACTGTATTAAATATCTGGAAGACACTTTTTGTTTTTCAATAGAAAGTTGTTCATATAACTTTTGTAGAGCTTTCGACGGCGCATCTTCTGAAAAGTAACCAAGGCATTATCATTTCTCCAAGCCGAGATATTTGCAACATAAAATAGGTGAGTCATAATGTTTGTGGTATCTAGTATTCTACAAATAACTCAACACAGATAAATCGTATAATCTTGATCTTTTTGTTAAAAGATGCGCCGTGAAAATCTCTACAAAAATTGTAGGAACAATTAATTCCTATTGACTTTTTCGGATAGTATTTTCTATACTCAAAATGAACAGGTCGCATGGTGGTGCTACGTTCCACGGTATTCAGCATGATAAAAATCTTTGGAAGGCTTATTTTATTTTGCAAATATCTCGGCTTGGAGAAATGATAACGGCTTGGTTCTTTTTTTAGAAGATGCGCCGTCGAAAGCTCTACAAAAGTTATATGAACAACTCTCTATTGAAAAACAAAAAGTGTCTTCCAGATATTTAATACAGTGGGACATGACACCATCATGTCACCTGTTCATTTTGAGTATAGAAGACACCATCAGAACAAGTTAATAAGAATTTGTTCTTACAATTTCTGTAGAGCTTTTCACGGCGCATCTTTTGACTAAAAGATCAAAGTTATACGATTTATCTATGTTGAGATATTCGTAAGATAGTGGGTGTTGCAATCATTATGACTCACCCGGTATTTAAATTAAATCAGACAAACATTGGTGCATTACTTGTAGAGTGTGGATTTCGTTGAAGAATGCAGAAATCCTACAGTCACACTGATGAGGAAATTTACAAGCGAGGCATAATTTTGTTATTATTCAATATCCTGTGTAAAATGTGTTTTATTTCGATCAAGTTAAATTCGGTTCAATTTTGATCACTCAGTTATTTATATAATCTCGTTTTTTATTTTCAAAACTAATTTTTCACCTTATATCTGCAAAATCAGTTCAAAACGCATAAGAATTGGACAAATCTTTGAAAAGATACTTTTAGCAGTAATTTATAAACTCTAACAGATATTATTTATTGTTATCCAAATGTAAAACAAATTATTATTGAAAGTCTTTTATCATTTATTCTATCAGTCTAATGACAAGAAAAACAAGATTGCAAGAGAGGAAAATAATTATAGACATGTTTTGTATGTTTTAATGGTCTTTCAAAAAGTAATTCTTTCACTTGAGCACAATTGCGTAGACTTGCATTCCTTGTAAAGTTGTCTGTTACCATTTGTAATCCATGATAATTGACTGCTAATTTGGTTAGACATGGTAGATGTGTTCTTTTCTGATCGAGAAACTGATCGATATAATGAGTATGACTCGACCGTAGATCAAGTGAAATTAGATTTGGATATTCAACAATTGAATACAATGGATTATAGTCAATATTCCAATAGTCGTCCATCCTTGAATGTGGTTTAAAATTAATAACACTTAATATTTTAAGGAAAGGAAAAAAGCGTGCGATTCGAAGAAAAAATTCATGATCGAATGGCTTTATATCATGTACCATCAAGTCCGTAACATGATTAAAATCTAATGAAAGAATAATCAGTTATTATTTACTGTATATAAGATTTGTATTTAAATTTCTTACTTGTAAAATATTGTGAAATAATATGATTGTTAACATTATAAAGTTTAAGTTCAGTTAGATTAGGATAATCAGCAACACGAAGAATACGTTCCATAGATTTTGATTCAAGAGTAAGTGATTTAATATCGT